TGCGTGTTGCCTCCAGCGAAGTCCTGGGAGAAGGGGGAGCATGGCCCCGGGAGGAGGCAGCTCTGCTGCTCTGATCTAACCGGGAGTGACACAAGGGCTGGGGGCCAGCGGTGCCCACCCCCTTCTCCTGTGATCCTGGGCTGCTCATCCACAGCGCTGCAAAGGGAAAGTCACAGCCACAGTGGGCAGCCAGGCCATGGGCAGGAGAAGGATCTGCTGCCGCAGACCCCTCAGCACAGAGCAGGGGATGATTTCCTGATAATTTCCTGATTTCAGTCGGGGATCAATTGGCCACTTGCTCCCATTCCTTCCCCCCAGGACCAGAGCCTCCAGCTCTGCATGTAAAGCAGTCGCTCCCTATTTCCAAATGCAAATGCCTCTGTGAAAGGCCTTGCTTTGAAACCAGCATTATTCCCCAGGGTCCCGACCCTCCTGCCACATCCCTCACCCCGGCCTCTAGCCCAGCCTCTGCCTCTGCCTTCCCAGAGTAACAAAGGTTACGGGAAATAAAAGCAGAGCGATTACCATCTGGGAATCATCAGGCAGAGCCCAGAGAGATAGAGCAGGCTGCAGAGACCAGGCTGACCCCACAGCCCACCACTCATGTGTGCTTTAGTCCCCCCAAACCCCAACAGCCTGCCAAGGGCTGCAGGGACCCCAGAGGCATGGTGTGCAGGGCACTGAACCAGGCTGAGCCAAACCCAATGACACCCTGCACCCCACTGAACGAGGCTGGAGAGAGGAGTGGCTGCCACGTCCCTCCCTGCACCCCAACACGGCACTTTTGCAGCCCCAGAGCTTGGACAGACAGCCCAGGATGGCAGAAGCGTACAGCCAGAGCTACAGCAGGGCCAGAAAGTGACGGGCAGCTCCATCTCACTCTGTCCTCATGCTGTGACCCGCTGCCAGGGTGGCTTTGGAGCAGGCAGCTGGAGTCTCACACCTTTGCTGGCCACAATGCTGCAGGTCCCCAGGCCACAGTGGGAAAGGGATGGGGATGGGGACATCTCACAGTTCCACACTCCCTGTGTCCCCTCACAGGCTGCTGTGCCCATGAATGGAGTGGCTGCTCCTCCTTGTCATCAATCTCCTGCCCTGTCCACTCTGGAGCCTGGAAATAAACCCCCTTTAACTCTCAGCCACAACCGCTCTGTTTTGGTGGCGGAGGCCCCACATTCCTGTGTTTCAGACTGCAGCCACGTCTTCAGGAGCGGAGCCACAAGAGCTTTCTGATGGTTAATTGCTGGCACACTCTCACTGAAAACATGAAACACCCCCTGACAAGCCGTGTGATTTATTACTGCCCACTGCAAAACGGAACAAAATCAATTGGCTATTACCTCACTTAGCGAAGGCTTGTCACCGCCTGGGAGCAGGGTGTTAAAAATAAAAGCCAGGCACAGCCCCGGCTGCAATCCCCACGCTGGGGCTGCTCCACCTGCTTTGCCACAGATAACACCGGGGCCACGCCGGGGCCGGCTCCGTGTGCCCCGATCACTGCCATGCTGGTGCAGCACCAGCTCGTTCCTGCTTTGCTGTTATTAATCACACAAATGCCATTGTGAGCACCGGCACAGCAAATGTAACGTGCAGAGCAGTGACAGAATATTTATGACAGGAGTGTATCCTTTAATTAGTCAGATTCATGCAACCCTTCCTGCCCCAGCAAGGCAGACCCTCCATGCCCGGGAAGCCACCCCACACTGGTCGTGGCACTGGCAGGGAAGGGCTGTAGCCCTGCTCATGGGCAGGTGGAACGTGCCAGGGAATGGGACCATCCATCCACTCGTGTCTGAGTGTGACAGCCTGGCTTTCCTTGCCTGTGAGCTGCCTCTGAGCAGATCCCCTCGGGGTGCCCAGAGCAGGCTACGAACACCCACACTGTGGCAATGCTGATGCAGCTGCCTCTGCTTGCATTTCCAAACATGCAGGGAAACCCATATATTGCCCTAGAAAAGTGACTGGAGAACTGCTCCAGCAGAAATCTGCCTGTATTTCCCCAATGCCAGGTCGTTTCCTTGGTAGGAAAAGGGAGTGAGACATAGACCACCACAGAGGCAGCTGAGGTCTGGGAGGTCTGGGAGCAGTGGGACAGCTCAGGAACCAGGGCTGGGGCAGCTGCCACTCACTGGGACACTGCAGCCAGTGCCAGGGGGACATGGCAGCCCCGGGTTTATCACTGTGACTGATGAGAGGCAGAGCCCGGAGGGCAAGCAGGGACCCTACTCCCAGGTGTTTCCATGGGGTCTGCGTCCTGGTGCATGTGGCACTGCCCAAGGCACTACCCATAGGGTGGGTGGCAGCTCAAGAGCTGGCAGAAGAGCCTGAAGCACATTTTCAGGATACTTCAGAAATTGAACAGTCCCTCTCTTTACATTTCATCGCCTTTGTTCCGTACCCAAATCACTTACAGGCTCCTCCAGTCATAGCAGGGAGATGCTCCTCCCATGAAGCTCCAAACTGTGCACAGCATAAAGAGGCTGCATTATTTATAGACTCTGGATGGATATTTCACAGAGGTCCAGCCCATTCCCAGCATTCCCTCCATTCACAGATCATTAAGTAGCACTTGCTGACATACAAGGCAATGCAGTGAGTGGGGAACTTTGAATATTGCCACCCAGCCCCACAGTCAGTGAGATTCAGGATGTGACCATCTGCAGAAGGGGGATAGTTGTGCCCTCCCAAACAAATCTCACCACAAAACATCCACGCAAGCACCCAGCAGGAATGCTGCTGCAGGAGGACCCATGGGACCCACATGGCCTGGGCACCACCAAGGGGACATGAAGGTTGCCAGGGCCCATTAACACCATTGCTGAGCCTAAAAGGGGTTTTCTCCCCACTGAGCTCCTGGCTGCAAGGTAATCAGCCATGTGGGGACAAAATCCCTCCAAAACCTCAGCAGCAGTACAGCACAGAAGGGCCATGAGGGCAAGAGCAGGCCCCAAGAGTTTAACTCAGAGCATGGCAGGTACAAGAGGGGGTCTCCAGCGCGAGCAGCATGAGCAGATGTTTGTGTCCAGGTGCTGCAGGACACCTTCCATGGCTGCCAAGTGTTCTGTGCCCTGTGACCATCCTAGCTGGGGTGCTTGGAGCAGCCAGCGGCTCTGCTGCTGCCCCCAGACCCCACTCCAGGTGGGCAGACACTGTCCCTGCTAAGGGCTCGTGGCCACCACATTCCTGCCTACAGCTGGAGTAAACCTGGGGCTGTGTCTGCCCCCACCTCAGGCCACGGCCAAGCAGACACAATGGCAGGACGTGACTGTGGGGACATCTGTGCCTGATCCAGGAAACATTTTGGCATCTAGTAGAAGCTGTGAGTTGTTAAAAAGTAAAAAAAGAGATGTGTGATTGCAAGAAGATCACAGAAGGGATACATTTTCAGGCTGCAGCAGAGGACAAGGCTGAGATTGCAGTTCCCAGGAAGCCTGACACCCTGCTCCATGGCTGTGACCCTGCCAGGAGCCAGTCTCCAAGGGGCAGGTCATGTCACCTCCCCAAGGGCTCACCCCTTTGCCCAGTGACTGCCTGGATGCAGAGCAAGGGTCACTGCCCACCCAGTCCCCACTGCTGTGCCCACGCTGCTGCCTGTGCCCTTCAGCGGGACAAGAGCTCTGTGTGTCCCCTCAGTCTCACCAGTGCAGAGGGTGGCCAAGGGTGGCACAGGGAGGCTGAGGTCCACAGCAGAGCATCTGCATCCCATCCCAAGGGCAGGTGGCCCTTGGCCATGCAGACCTCCCAGGGAACAGCAGCCTCCTGCTGCCCCTCACTTGGCCACAGCTCTGTGCCCCACTCTCACCCAGCCTTCCTCTGCCAAGGCCAACACTGCAGGTCAAGGTGGCTGTCCAGGAAGTGCCACCAGCCGCGAGCTTGTCCCCAGGAGCACAAGGCCTTGCTGGCACACACAAGGGCTGCAGCAGCACCTGCTCTGGGAGAGCTGTGGCTCATCTGGGTCCAGCCCAAGGCCACCCTGCACGGCAGCACTTCCATTTCAGTCCATGGCGCGGTGTGCTGGGGTGACGGGAACCGTGGGGCCAGTGGAAAATGGGGCTCTGAGCTCATGCATCTTATTTTAGCTCCCCATCCTCTCTGGAAGCTATCTCAGGCATGTTTTGGGAATACAGCAGGTATTTTTATGAGTGGGATTTGCAAGGGTATTTTCATCTTAGACTTGGAGACAACTGGGCCTGCTGCCAGGTTTAGGAAGCACAGGGGCAAGAAACATGAAACTAGTGAGAGGTAGGCTTCCCACTGGGGCTTATATTTAGCTGCGGGGAGCAGGAGCCCTCAAAAATGTCCTGCTTGGTGCTCCCTGTGCCAGACCATCCCTCAGCCGGTTCACTGAGGCCAACCTTGACCCAGTCCAGGAAAGGCAAGGCGATGTGTCCTGGGCGATGGCACTTGTCTGGCTTGTCCCACCTGGCACTGCCGAGACCCCGGCTGCCCTTTGGATCAGCTGTCACCAGCAGAGCGGCGGGTGCAGAGCGAGCAGGACGTCACCTGCACTGAGGGAGCTGCCGCTGAGCAGCACCCATGGCAATGACGATGAGAGTGGGGGCACAGCACTGACCGGGCACTGCGCTGTGCTTGGGGCAGCAGAGCGGAGCTGTCGGGCAGGATGACCAGCCCAGGCTCAGCCCCAGGACACACACGATGACCCCTGGGTGCCACAGGGCTGCTGCCCAGTGGGAGATGACAGCTGACAGCTGAGCTGGAGGGGCTGGGGAAAACCACGACCTTGCAGTGACACCGGCCTGGCCGTGCCATGCTGTGGCCGGGAACATGAGCCGAGCAGCTGCGTGGTGCTGCTTGGCCAGGGGCCGAGGTGCACGGGCTGCTGGTAGCCAGCACCAGAGCTGCTCAGAGGCCCCTCAAAGACCCTCCCTAGCAAGCATGGCTAGCTTGCTCCAGAAACAAAATGCCTTCCCAGGATTAAAAAAAAAAAAAAAAAAAAAAAAAAAAGAGACAGCTTCAACCAAGAAATAGCCACAGGCAGGTTTTGTTTTTAAAGCATTTTTATTTTCTTCATTTTGAATTGAATTTTTAAGTGATTTGTCTCACTGAAATGGACACATTTTGAAATCCCATGTGTTCCCTCCTCTCTGCCCAGAGGGGGTTGGCTGCTGACCCAGTGCAGCGAGCTGGGGGGCTGAGCCACAAGCTCCTCATTTTCTGTGGCAGCTTTGTACCTTTTCCAAAGCAAAGACAGTCCTCAGAAAGGGGTAACCTCAAACAAATACCCCCCCTCTTCTGTACCTGAGACTGGTTTTACTGCACCTGGCAAAGAGGGCCAATAGCTGGAGGGAGCAGAATCAGAAAACAAAGTTTCCTTATGACTCTGTATTTTATAAGCAAACTAAGTGCACCTTCACCTCGTGGGGGTTTTAGGCCAGCACTCGCTGCTCTCCCTGAATTCCCAAGAGTCTCCTGAACAACCAGCATGGATGAGATCCCTGATCGGACACGGCACAGGAGCCCTTGAGCTCCATCTCCACCGGCACGGCTCGGAGCGGGACACCCTGAGCCAGGTCTGCTCCAGGGCCACCCAGCACCGAGGGGAGCTGCTCCTTCGAAAATGTTTTTGCACCAGACCAGAACAGAGCACGTGATGCTCCACCATTTTGGCGGCCGCCCTGCGCCCGTGAAATGGTGTCGGCACAGCTGCACCACCAGTGGCTGCCATCGCAGCCCCACTGATTGCGGCGCCCTTGTCACGAGCCAGCGGCAGTGGAGCTAAATTAGAGCAACTAATTGCACGTCTCTTTGAAACAATCAGAATGACAAATCAGTGGTAATCTCTTCAGTTCTAGAGGGAAGCTATTGCGGCTCGTTCACAAGGATTAATCAGCTTTTCATCAGTGTTATTATACCAGCGCTGCCTCGGGAGAAGCCCCGAGGCCACGCTGGCTGGGCTCACACCACAGGGACATGGAGGCCGCTGCAGCACGGCCAAGCTGCTCGCTCCCAGCCCTCGTCCACTGGCAGAGCTGCCACATCCACTCCCAGGCTCCATGGCCCTCGCTCAGGCTCTGCCCGGGGGCAGCTCTCCCCAGGGGGCTGCACACTGTGGGCAGCAGGAAGCTTGGAGGGAGGTTCAAGTCAAATGCACCCCCCTCAGTGTGACTCTCCAATACACACAACCATTCTAATCATCAGTGCCAAATCAGAGATCAGTCAAGGAGAAATACATGAGCTGCAGGACATGCCCTGGTGCCCCTCCCCGAGCACAGGGAAGGTTTTTCTCCATGCACCACCAGCAGTGCTTCGTGTCTGTCTGTGGCTGCTCCACAGAAATCCCAAACATCCTGTTGAGCGGGAGCTGTCAGCAAGCAGGGCTGGTGCCTTTCAACTCTTTACCACCTGCACCCAGCAGAAAAGCACTCAGCAGCATCCCTTCTTGGCTGATACTCAACATCCAGAGGACACAGGCTGCTAGGGATGACTGACCTAGGCTGGCTTCTCCCAGCCCTACCACTGCTCCATGGCATGACCATGCCCAAACAAGCCACTTTCTGCTCCACAAAAGCTAAAATGGGAACATGTTCATTGACCTCTACACTTTCACTGCATTTCATGGCAGCCCCAGAGCACTTTGCATCTGCCCACACATGTTAAGAGCAATGATGGCAGAGAGCTTTATTGAAAATGCCCAGACCTGATGCTGCAACCAGTGGTAGTGCCCTTTGGCCAAGGCCTAGGAGGGAAGGATGCTTGAGGGAAGAAAAGCAATTTGTGATACTGCTCATGGACAGAACTGACGACTTGCTTTTCATGGGCTCATCTTCTACTATCAAAGACCTTCCCCTGGTCCACAGAGGTTCTTTTTCCCCACCAAGCAGAACTAAGCACACAAGTGTACACATGGGGTATGCAAGGAAGAGAGAAGGCCATGGTGCTGCTACAGAAGGCCCCAGAGACAAATTCCTGATCTTTCATGCACTCAGACCAAGAGCCCTCAGTGCCCTGGACAAGAGGGCTGAAGCACTACACATGGCTCTGCTGTGCCCTGGAAAAATTTTGTGGCGGGCATGTGGCATTTCAGTCCCCTGTTTCAGTTTACAGGAGCATGGGTCATTCATTCCCTCCCCAGCACAGCCCTGCTGTCTCTGGCCAAGGGGCTGAGGCTGGCCTGGGAGAAGCCTCTCCACCAGCATTGCCATGGTGAACCTGCCCATGGGCTCACCTTGTACCAAACATGGCACTGGGCATGACTCTTCCTTAGGTGCAGGTCAGCGCTGCTGCCACAGAGCCCACCCAGGGCAGCAGCTCTGAACAGGACAATGCCCAGCCTGGCAGTGGGAGATGGTTCTTGGCATCCAGGAGACAGTCAGCAGCAAGGCCAGTGTGGTGTTGCGTGGGAGCACCGTCGGAGTGGGAATCACCATCTGCAAGGGATGGAGAGAAGAGAGGATTAGCAGAATTCAGCCACAGCCATGGAAGCCCAGCTCCCAGCAGCTCCTCCTGGCTCAGACCCTATCCCTGCTCAGCCAGGAGAGAGACTGGCATTGTTCCTGGATCAAGGCCTGAGGCACCATCTTCCATGGGAAAAATATCATCCTGCAGCCCATGGCTGGGGCTGGGGAAGGGTGTGCACAGCAACACAGCAGCACTCAGAGCAGCTGAGCACAGCTCTCCTGCTGCCTTTAATAGCTCTGTGCCAGCTCTGCCACATTACAGCGCTCGGATCACACCATCAAAACTCAACAGTGCACTTGAGTTACATAAAGGTCCAGCTCGTGGAGAAGAGGCTCTTGACGTTTCCCCACAGCAAGCTTTTAGGGTATGTTAGGAATGCTGAAACCATAGATGGAAAGTGCATGGAAAGGTGAAGTCAGGCATCAGGGTCCTCCAAAACAATTAAACTCAAACTGCTGAAAAACAGACATATACCATGTACATGAAATAACACAGAGAGAAATATTTAAGTCCTCTTCATGCACACGTAAAGCCAGTTTGTTTCAGGCAACAAACTTCTGGTGAATTCAAAGCTCTGAACTGAGAGAAAACCTTAAAACCAGAAGAGCTCTCTTAACTAATTGTCTCTCACACTAGAAAACATCTGTGCCAATCCTTTTTTTTTTACCCTTCTGAATACCAAACTCACTCGTACCTGGATTTGCCATGCTGCTGCTGGACCTCTGATGCACTCAGTTTAACCAGTGCACGTTAAAATGCCCATGAAGTACAGTGCTGTACCTGCCCTGCTCCAGATGATTCTCTGCAGATCCCCACTTGCAGCTTCACTCAGGCCAAATCACTTAGAAAAGTCTGAAAGCCAAAGCATTGCTCTCACTCAGGGAGTGTCACGGTGTATTTCTCATAACTGGGGCTCACAAACACAATCCTTCCCCCATGCTCTGCAGTTGTTGCCCACAACAAAGGCATTTGGGATCAAAGGAAAGGGTTAACCCCCATGCAGTCATCCCTTGGAGTCCTGGAGGTCTGAGTGCTGCCAACTCCTGAAAAATGGCCACCAGGCAGGCAAGCTGCTGAGAATCATCAGAATAAGATTGGAAGGTGTCCACATCAATCAATCACTTGTTGACAGATGACTGGAAGCCCCCACTGTGCCCGTGGACAGCTGACCAACTCTCGGCTTAACCTGGAGTCTAACATTAGCCTGTTTGCTTCGTGTGGGTGGCTGCTGCGTTATGACCTTAATAGTCAATCAATCTTGCAACGAGCAGTCTGTCTGGCAGAAACATTCATTATCCATCCTATTCATGCATTGAAAAGCTTTATCTTCAAAAACTCTGCGTCACTTAGGGAGGAATAACAGAACCCTGAGCAAGAAAATAGGCCCAGCCCCGGTTTCTAAGGAGAATCCAGATGTTGGGGCTGAGCTCCCATAGCCGCTGCAGCCCCAGATCCGGGGGCACTCAGGGCAGGGCTTGGCCTCCCTTTTATTTCTGGTACCTATTCAGGCTGCTTTGAGGTTGCTGCTCTTGCACCAGCAACTGCTGGAATCAGTGCCAAGAGGAAGACAAGGGGGAGAGATATAAAAGGACAACAAACACACATCAATTAAACCTTGCAAGCTGTTAGTCACACTAGTTAATAAGTTCTTTCTATCTGTAAAGTGCTCTTAGTGACAAATCCTTTAACTGGCACTCAGAGCGTTATTATGGCTTTCAAGATGCCTCTGTCTTTCATGTGCAGCTTCTTGTACACATGTGAGTGCTCCCCGTTGCGCAGTCTGTTTACACTAGTTGTGAGAAGACATCATCAAAGCAAACTGAAAGCAACACTAAATGCTTGAGAAAAACAGAATTTATTCACCGCTGCCTGCTCTGAAATCGCCTTTCACTTAACAAACCACTGCAAACTGCAGCAGCAGGACCAGGGAGCTGGGCTGGCACAGCAGCCTCCGGCCTCTCCAGGCATCACCAGCAGCATCCACCTCCCAGCATCAGCCAGGGGGACCTGAACCTGCTCCAGGCAGCTGAGACCTGGTGATCACAGTTCCAGGGATGAGGAACTGCAGGAGCTGCCCATCCCCTGCTGTGGGCAGTCTGTGTACCAGAGCTGTGCCTGGGACAGGACAAGGGCAGCTCCTGTGCCCAGGGCTAGCAACCAGAACGATGCCCCAAGGGTCCTCACCATCACTCATCCCAGCCATCCCTGTGCCACGGGGCACCCAGAAGGTGGTAGAGGCTTTGTTTCAAAGAGCTGAAGCCAGACAAAGCTTTGTGCAAGGTGAAGGAAGGAGAAGAGCTCAAGAGGATCACTCCTGCCTCGATCACCACCTGCAGAAACTGGCACAGGGTGAACACCCACAGGTACCCCATGGGGCAGTCTGCAGAAGCCCCTTCATTGCTGGCTGGTCCCTGTTCAGGAGAGGGGCAATGAGAAGGTGGCTCCATCCTCACCTGCATCACACAACATCCCAGGAGAGCAATATGTGATGTACAACAGCACAAACACACCAGCACCAGGGAGGACGGGGAGCTGAGCACAAGTGCCCTGTCCAGGGCCAGCAGACACGCACACCACAGGATGCCCTTATAGAAACCGTCCTCTCCTTACTCAAGTCAAAGCAATTAGGGCCCTGCAACATTAGATTTAAAAAGAGACAGTTAATAGGAGATCTTCCATAATCCTTCACACTCAGGCTGCCAAAGCAGCCACAGTTCAGCAGGCCTTGTCCAGGCTGATTGTATGTCCTGAAAAATGAACAGTAACTTGCACAGAAGGAAGTTATGTTTCTGCAAACTCTCTTCCACACAAAGTAAATATTAATCACCTTAATAGCCATTAATGTGTAATGGCCATTCATTAAATGCAGGAAAATACAGGGCCTCAAAGCAATCATGTCATGGTTTCAGTACCTGGGGCACTCACCACACAGCACCTGTGCTCCCTGTGCACAGCACGTCCCGGTCCACTGCTGCCTGGAGCCACCCTGTTCACGTGGCACCCACCTGCCAGGGGCAGCACAGCCACGCTCCCAGACCATGAGCAGGAGCAGCACATCATCCCCTTCTGGGTGTGCACAGAGAGCAGCTCACTCTGCCAGGACAGCCACCATGGCTCCCTGTGTGCCAAGCAGCTCAGGGCTTTGCTTGACCTGGCAGCCATCCACACACTCCTGCAGCAGCACGGCCCAGCACAGAGGAGCTGTGCCGCTGGGCAGTGGGATGGCAGCAGTGGCGTTTGGGGGGCCTCCAGGATATCAGTTGCAGGTGACAGCATTAGATCTGCTGCCCCAGAAAGTCCTCTGTGCAACCTGGCCTCCCTCGGCCAGCTCAGGGCTTCACGGATGGTGTCAGGTGGCAACTTTCTCAATTCTGACCTTGCTGGAATTTGCTGCTGGGGGGGACACACCAGTCCATAAAGCTCCCATTAGTGTAAAAGCAGATGTAAGCACTTTGCTGGCAGAGCTCAGCAGCAGGGAAGCCTGCAGTTGATCAGTTCTGCCTCGCTGGTCACTGCAGTCAACAGAAATTACCACAGAGGGTTCCTGTGCCCCTCTCTCTAAGCCCACCCCTCCAAAAAGGATGGTTTAAAGAAGCCAGCCAAGTTCAGGCAGCAGTCCAGGATAACACAGTAAATCCACGTGAAACGTGCTGAGGGGAGCCAGCCCTGAGTGGGAATAGCCAGCAGGAGAGCAGCGTGGATTTGTTTATCACACAGAACAAATCTAAGTATGGGGACGAACTGCTAGCCGGGGACTGCGGGGCCTTTGTGCCACATGATCAGCGCAGGACCGAGGGACAGGCAGGTGGCAGCTGGGACTGGCCTTTGCTATCAGCTCCCGCAAGGACACCCAGCACCCCCAGACTGTCACAGCCAGGGAGCAGCACCTGCCCCTTCCCACGGCACCAAGGGCACGAGGGGACTGCCAGACCCTGGGGCACCTCCTTGGGCTGGGGACCTGAGTGCAGCCCCACAGACCCTGGCCACCAAACGGGCCACAGTGCTCGGCTACAGGGAGGGAAAAGGCAGCAGTAAAGGCTGTGTGGCCATGGTGCCTCTTGTCACTGGAGGAGTGGGACTGCCAGTCCTCCACCCCCTGTGCTCCCTCTCCATCATGCTGTGCTGAGAACCAGCACCAGCTGACCTGGTTTCAGCCAGTTTTCCTTCATGATTAACACTCTCCGGGTCCATGCTCACTCTGTTATTCTCACCAAATTAAAGAGCAGTCCTGGATCCTCGTTAGATTTGCTCACATTTGAGCAGTGTCATGTGGTCAGTAGCCCATGGCAATACACTAAATTAAAGGCCTAATGCAGAATCCACCTACAAGCCTGACAACTAATGAATCGAGGGCTTCAGGCCCCAGAGGAGCTGCGCTGGGATGAAGCCACTTCACACCGAGCCAGAGCAGAAGTGCAGTCCCTGGGCTGTCATTCAGAAATAAAGAGTTGTTGAATTTTATTCACCACAGGACACAGAAACAACAGCATCTCTGTAACTAAGGCTGGTTTGCCAGAGAGCCAGGCAGCAAGGAGCCTTCTCAGCACTGATCCCCCAGGGCACAGCGGCTCCTGCCTGAACACCAGAGGTGCTGCAAATGACTTCCCACTTGGTTTCAATGGACTGGGTATGAGCTCCCACCAAGGACATGCTGACTCTTCCCTCTGGTCAAAATTAATACCTCCACCCACCCCTCTAAACCATGCTGGCACAACACAACCCCTTCCTGTGCCCCCAGCTCTTCCTCTGGGCCCCAAAGGGCTCGGGGGAGCTCAGCACCCAGCCCTCACAGGCATCAGCCAACACTGATCAGGCTGCACAAGAGAACAACAGAGTGTGGCTCCCACACTGAGCTCTTAGAACCCTCTCCCCATCCCCAGCAGCAGCTGGGCAAGTGCTGGATGTAAGCTCTGGGGCCAGTGCTGTGGCCATCAATTTTGCTCTGAAGCATTTCAAGTTGGAGCTGAAGCCTGGAAAGGTTCAGCCTGTTGCATCAGACAGCTCCAGCCCTGCAAAGGTCAGGGCTGTTTTGGTAAGGAGCTGTTTGCTGAAGCCTCCCCCTCCCCCAGATCCCTGCTCTTGGCCACAGGTCCTGCACCCATAGCCCTCCCCGTGCTCACACACTCACACTCTGCTCAGCCTTTGGAAATGGAGAAGCTCCACACCAGGACACCACTCCTCACAAGTGTGCCACGAATCAAGGGCTGTGCAGTGCTCCTGGGGCACCCAGCGTAGCACTGGGGGACCTCACCTCCTCTGTGCCCACCCTCGTGCCCCTCCTACAGCTGGGAGCCCAGGCAAGCCCTGTGCCAGGGAGTGGTGACCTCTGGCCAGGTGTGCACTGGCAGGGCCACCACCCACCGTGCGTTCCCAATGGTCACAGTCATGGACCCTGTTCACCTCCCTCCTCATCTCCAAGGCAGAGCAGACCCACAGCACAAGGACAAAGCAAGGTGTTCTCTGCTGCTCTGAAACGCCCTGGGAGGAGCTGCCCCAGTAAGCAGCACACTGCAGACAGGACACCCAAACCTCTGGTCTCTGGGGGACAGGGGAATGCTCCCGGTGACCCCCCCAAAACACCGTGATGGGGGCTCTGCAGGTACATCGCTGGGTGGTGCAGAGCAGTGCTGGGAGCAACCAGACAGGACTGCAAAGGGAGGAGGGTGGTGAACAGGGTGGTGAGCTCTATCATAGCCACCCTTCAGCCAGGCACAGGGGACTGTCCCCCTCTCCTCTCTGCAGCTGCCATCCATCCATCCATCCATCCATCCATCCATCCATCCATCCATCCATCCATCCATCCATCCCAGTGAGGATGGCAGGGCAGGGAGGAGAACTTAAGGCTGAGATGTGTTAATTGATACTGGTCACAGCCCATCCTCCCCACATTCCTCCATCTGGACAAGGCACCACCACTTCTCTAAAGCCATCTTTTCATCCTAAAGCAAGAGCTATATTTTAGCATTAATTCTTTTTTATTCCTAGACAGACTTAAATCTCATTAATTTTAAGACACTTCAAGCTCTCTTTAGCAGTCCCTAACATAATTCTCCTAACTTAAGATACAAGATACTAGATAGAAGTAGCCAATCCCGTTTATAATTGTATATATGACCAGCAATTCAAATTCACTTCCCTTGATTTAATGTCCTATTTGTATTCTATCAATAAATGGAGTTCTCAGGACCATACTTAAATGGAAGCAGCACTATGCTCTGATAGCCAAAGCCAGCAGAAAAAAATTGCATCACTAAACTAAAATGTCTTGTAGTATATGATTCCTTGACTTATTGTTCTCTCCTCTTCACTGCACTTGAATATTAACTGTTGTATTAATAGCTCACTCTTAATTATCCATGAGTAATGTACTACAACCAGAAAATTAATGGAGGGAAGCACCACAAAAATGGAAAAGAATTCTTCCTATCCCAGATATATTTTCAAGCACACTGTGAGAGGAAGAAGATACACACACTGCCTTGGACACAGCCAGAGAAGAGGCCAGTGCTGGGAAGGGTCCATTGCTGAAGCCCAGGGATGGTCCTTGCCCTGCTGGATTCTGCTTGCCATGGGAGGGAGGTTCTGAGCAGGGGTCCCATCATGATCCCAGAGAGCTGGGGTGGTCAGGAGAGGGGCAGCAGAGCCAGGCAGTGACTTGGTTCTCCAGCCCAAGATAAAGGAGATTGAGTGGGACCAAAGTGAGAAATTTACAGCTGTTAAGGAAGATTTTGCCACAAAACACATAATTCAGCTCCAGATTTCACTGTAGAAGGAATCTGAACTTGAAAAGACTGACAAAGCCAGGGTGTTTTCATGGATAATGTGGATTCTCAGAGTTAAACGTTAGAGCTGACAGGAGTGCAAAGATATGCTGCACCCCTCATTCATCCCCACCCCTGCTCTCCAAAGAGCACCTGAGAGGGAGGATCTCTCACCTGTGCCAGGACATTTCCCCTCTCTAGGAGCCTGTTGGAAAGTGCTGCTCACCATGATGCCGTGACACAGTGTCTCTGACTCCAAGCTGGGACCAGGGACAGTGCCAGCATGGTTCCTCCAAGGCAGCCAGGAGCTGCACAGGCAGGGCCACCACATCCATCTCCACGGGTGCTGCTCCAGAAGACTGGAATGGTGAGGTGCCTAATTAAATATGTGCCTCCCAGTGCTGGAGCCCTGCAGCAGCCATGAATTATGCAGCGGCTCACTTACATGTCAGCAGGATCACAATATTGATGAGCTATCCTGCATGTAATCTGATAAAAACCAAGATAAACTCAGCAAAAATTGAGTGTAATATGATCCTTTCCATTCAATAAACCACTTCCAGCCCAGCACTGGGAATGTCTCTCCAGGCTCCCTGCTCACCTCAGGCAGCCAAGCCCATCAGCTCCTCAGTATGGCCCAGCAGGGGCAGGAGCAGCAGCGTGCTGACAGCGTTCCCCTGCTCCTGCAGGGCAGCACTGGGTGCCTGAAGCCTACCTGAGGAGATTTCTGTGTCCTGGTGCTCTCCACAGCACCAGTGCATTCCAAAGGGTCTGAGTTTTGGCATTTAGATTAATGCTGGAGACAGGGAGGAAGAAGTTGCCATGTCTCACGCTGACTCCCTCCTCTCTGTCTGAGCAAATGAAGGATGACAGAGTGCAACTCCCACTCGGAAATGCTTTCCAGGCTCGCGCAGACCCAGGTCCAACTCCAGCTCCCATGATGAGCCAACTGCTTTGTAAACCTGGGCCGGATGCTCTTGGTGCCCTGGGATCAGCCAGCAGCACAGGCTCCTGCCCTCAGCTAAAACACCTTCTCCAAGGAACATCTCGAAGAGAGGGGAGAGGCTTCTGGCTATGTTTGGTCACCAGATCTGTGCCTCAGAGAGCCCCTGAGGCAGTACCCACCTGCCCAAAGCAGGGGGAGCCCAGGTCACTCCCCTTCCAGAGGACACTAGAGGTGATGAGGAGTGAGCAAAGTGACTGTCCTCACCTTGGGAACACACGCTGGAGCCTCCTCAGCAGCCTCATTCCCAATGTCCCTGTCCCATCAGCTTCAGGGACATAACAAGGTGGTTATTTCGTTGACAAGAAACAAGCAGTGGATGAAGTACAGACAGAAAGGTTACATTAAGTCGCAAGCCTGTTGGACACTGGCAGGGGCTGGGGGTCCTGTGACAGCCCATAAACCCCACCACCAGCCCCAGTGCTGGCAGGTCATTGCAGAAGAGGTGACCAGCAAAAGCTTGTTTGACCTCCTGAGGGATGTTTACTTCAGAGCACAAGAACAAAGTTTCAAAAGCAGAGCACTGCTGGTTTTCTTTTGAAATAGTATTTCAAATCCATAGCAATGTAAAGAGAGAGGAACACAAAGACCAAGAAAGACTCAGACTGGGGGATCTGCCCAAGAAAACCAAGAAATGGCCGTAAAATAAATGACTGATGAATGCAAAGACCTCAGTAGCTGACCAAGTGGCCAGCTCCCAGCTCTGCTGCTCCTCTCTCCACACCTCTCTCTGGCCCATGGGAGGGCATTAGCTGGGTGAACCCCAGCTGGAATCTGCCCTGAGAGTCAGGGGTGACAACACCACAGTCAGCACCATGTGCCAAACCAACCAAGCATAGGCAGCACCAGGCTCTCCATAGCCACAAGGTCCTGACTTACAGGAGGGGTCTGGATCCAGCCAGGTCCTCCTTGCCCCAAAAGCTGCTCTCCCTCATGCCCAGGGGATCTACACTGGCCCAGCAGGTGCAGCTGGGAGGGAACTGGGCTGGCCCAGCACCCTGCAGGGGTCTCCAGCCCCACTGATAAGCCTACAGGGAGGGACAGGAATGTTGCTGCCTGGAGAAGCCTCATTTCGCAGATGTGTCTGTGTCTGCGCAAGAGAGAAACTTTCACAGTTTTACTGCTTTTCAAATATTTTAATGCAAGCCATTTGGTGTCATATTTTAAAAAAATGGGTACCAGCACAAGCTACATGCACATTAGCAACTGTCTCTCTATTAGTGTAAATACAAGAAGCAGAAAAGCACAGTCTGACTCCTAATCCATATGGTTATTCCAAATAGATTGCATGGTCTTAAACTTTGGCTTATTAGACTGGATCTTACATATGGAAAGAATTAAAATGCTGGATTTACAGTGCAGGCTAATCAGAACATGTTTAAATAACGATGCCCCAGCAGCCCCAGAGGGTCACAGCCTCCCAGACACCTGGTGGAGAGGCTGATCCTGCTCCTACAGAAATCACCTCCCCAAAGCCAGGCGCTGCAAGAGCTGCACCGTGGCGCAGGGCAGGGCAGGATCCAGCCTCCAGCACTCCAAGAGAGAAGGCTGCAAGGAGGAAATACCTCATTTCCCACTGACTAGTCCATACAAGCAGAGACAATAGGGCCAAGTGTGCGCTGCCGGCAGTGCTCCCTCCTCTGAGTGCTGGCCAGCACGGGCTGCTCTGCCCTGACTTTGCTATCTGAAAAAGCCATCAGCCTGCCTGCTCCTTCACTTAGAATGAAAGGTCACTTCAGGGCTTTTAGGGTGTTTTTTTCAAACAAAAGAATTATCTCGATTTGAAAAAAAATACTTTGCCCAGAGATCACAAAAACTATTAAAAGCAAAACGTGATATCACTGTTAACAAAGCCAGAACTCTTGGGAAGGTGGATATACGTTACTTACTTCTGTTAATTAATTTCTGGACAAGGCCAGGCTCATCTTGGGTGCTTCAATACTTGCATGTCCACCACCACAGAACTAAACATATCCCCCCAACAGAGTCTCCTTGCAGCAATCCAAGCCTCTCCCCTTTTATTCCGCTGATGTTGTTTCCATGTGAGTCAGTTGCCTTTTTATTGCTCCTCTAAATACAACTTTCTCCAAAGTTGCTGAATTTCTAGACTTGGAAACATGACAAAAGAATGCACTGATTCATGCCCCTCCACACATCTGGCTGACACCTCCCCTGGAGCAGTGAGGGTGACCAGAGTGAGCCAGCATGAATCCAGCAGAGGAGATGTGGTCTGGGGAACTGGAGCCCAGCCACATCTCCAGCCATCCTGGACTCTCCAATCTGCCTCTCTGCTGACCAGATGACAAACCCCAAACCTGGTCCCACACCAGCCCCAGGACTGGTGCTGTGCTGTGTTACACCACCCAAGCTTCAGTCTGTGTGCTGGAGCCAATGCCATCCACAGGAGTGCAGCCCCCTCAGCTCCACCCAGACTCAATAACACTGATCAGCAACGCTCCTTGTCCTGGGGGGTCATCAGAGGCTGTGCAGAGCAGAGGGGGAGAGGGTTTCAGAAGCACAGCCAGCCCCTTAATGACTACATCAAATGGCAAGTCAGTTGTCAGTCTCTAACTGCCAGAAAAAATCAGCACCAGGGACCCAAGCGAGTGTTCAGTCTCCTCCACTCCCTGGTGCTGGGAAATGTGCCACAAGCTGAAGGGCAGCCCATGGCCAGGGAGACCAAGGAGCAGGATCACACCTCCAACCCACACATGCTCCCTCCTCCTCCTCAGCCCTGGCCAGAGAAAGCCAAGTGCTGGGCTTCCAGCTTGCAACCAGAACAAAAGCCAGCCCCTCCATGGAGCTGCAAGGGGGCTCAGCTGTGTCAAACTGGCAGCACCCAGCACAGGGCAACTCCCTGGGCAGGTCCTGAGAGCACAGCTGAAGCCCAGAATGCTTTCCCCATGGTCCAAACTGCCAGCTATACAGGAGCACCTTATCTGTGCTGAAACCATCATCAGATTCTGCTGTCAAAAGATGCAGAGGAGCTTGGAAATGCCACAGATGAACAATGCTGTTCAAACCATCCCCTTGGTACTGAGAGCAGTTCTGCACAAACACACTGCACTGACTGTGGCTTAACAGGGTCCTCCTCTCTCCAGCTTCTCATTACTGAGGATCAGGAAAAGAGAAGGCGCATATGCTCCTTTTGGGTTTTAAGGAAATTATTAAATTGGGCTCAACTTTTCATCTTTCCCACAAGAAGGTGCTCTGTCATCTTGTGCCTGTTCACCTACACAAAGACGAGATGACATCTCTGGCTAAAGGCCGACAGTTCTGCACCTCCTTGTCACTTTTAACAAGAAAATAATCCTGCAGAAACACTTGAAAAACAAATCGGTGTTGACACTCCTCATCTGCTAGGTACACTTTACAAAAGGAAAGAAATACTGCATTAGCGTTTGACCTCCTCACCTTTCTGACATTGGAAGAAAATAAAGAGGGAAGGCTCAGAAAAGCTGATGCTGAAGTGAGAATGTCAGGAGAGCAGGCAGAGCTCGAGGCTGGAGCCCCCAGCACAGCAGGCAGGGCAGGGCAGGGCAGGGCAGGGCAGGGCCAGCCCAGGCAGAAGGGAGCTGTGAGTTGAGAGCATCGAGGGAGATGCAAGGGGCACACAGGAGCCCCAGGGATAGGTGAAGAGATGCTTCTGCAGATGAGGGCATGAGAACTTAAAGAGGGAGCATCACCAAAAAGCTTCTCAGTCCAGTGAAGCCCTGGGGCTCTGCCCTCAGGCTGGAGTCAGTCCCTCCACTGTGTGAGCCAACATCCTCCCACCTGTCTTATCCTTACCCCACAGCAGCCCAGTTCAGCTCCATCCTTGCACCATTACATGGCTGTGTAGTGCTGAGTGGCTCCTTGCACTCCCAAGGGACTGCCTTGTCCTGCTCTAAATGCTCCTGAGCCATGCAGCACACTTCCAGCTCCTGACCTCTGCAGCCTGCAGGCAGGAACGAGAGGATTTCCTCAGCTCCCAGCACTGTCAGCTGCTCCCTTCATTCTGGGCACGGTGGATTTCACCAAATAAGTCATGCTAACCCCACCTCCTCTTCCCTGAGCAGAGAAATAAAGAAATAAAACTGAGCTTTGTCTTCTGAACAGCCAGACCCTCTCCATGAGAATTCTCCCAGCACAGGCAGCTCGCCCTTTGGACACGACACTCGGGTGACTTTCCACGTACTCGGGCACCAGATGGTCTCACTGCTCCCGCAGTGTGGCTGGGCACAGCTCTGCTGCTGCCTTGCTGGGCACAAGTCCTTGCCTGTAGGAGGTGGGGGCACTTCGAGGAACCCACAGAAGTATTTTCCCACCGGTAGCTGTCGGCCTGAGCTAATGCGACATGACACGTATCTCACTAGGAACAATGTGCTGACATTCACAGCCTGCTCACCATGTTCCCAACCCTGCCACTGTCACTGCAGCGAGACCACGGGCAGGGGGATGTATTTCCCCCCTGAGCTTGTTTCAAGCACCCCTTTGAGGTGTCCAAGGAGGGCATGGCAATCCCTCCACAGCTTTGTAACTGGTAGCACAGTACCACGGTAATGTCAGCTGGAACAGGAGGACAGGGAGAGAGGCAGTGCTGCCTGAACAAGGAGTCTCCTGCAAAACCACTCTTATTAAGTGTCCAGGAACAGCAGCAGCTTCACATCCTGCAAAGATGGCCCCGGACTCTGCCCCATCTCTGGAAAAGGTGGAGCTGCACACGGGAGCAGGAGTCAGACACGAGTGCCAACTGTTCACAGCCTAAAGACAACCTTTCCACCAACAGCTCCATCTGAGAAAGGGCTCTGGTATCTATGCCTGCAACACCCCCAGGAAAGTGGATGGGAAGTCCTTGGGACAGATCCCCTCCAGGCTGCAGGTGGGGAAATGCAGGGAGCATGACAGAGCATGGTTTGTGTGCCGAAACCTCGACACCCGCCCGTGCCCTGCTTACACAACAGCCTTACGCAACACGGCACTTCCCTGGCTTGCATAAGGGCACACCCGAAACCCCAGAGACGTGCTGGGACAGCAAACCCACCACTGGTCACCCAAAAGCACATTCCCACCATGCTGCCTCCCCACTGGCCCTTCCAGGCCACTCCTGAGAGGAGGCAGCCCAGCACAATGACAAGAAACATCACAGAGTGATACCAGGAGGCAAGAGAAGGACCTATTTCACCATGTTCTGGGAAAACGCTGATTTGACCCTAAATCACAGGACCTGGAGAGCTCTTCCTTGCTGCACAAAGAAATTGTTGTAACTTTTGGAGAATTTAAAGTAAATTTTGTTCGAGATCATCCAGAGCCAGCCCACCAGAAGGGGCAAGCAGCAGTTCCACATATCTGCAGGTTTCAGCTGGGTGACAAAGGCAGCACCGTGGTCATCAGCAGTTTGGAGCTTCTACCCCAAGCTGTTGAAAGAAAGAGCAGCACTGCCAGGTGCTGCCATATAGCAGGTGTGAGCTCCTGGTCACCGTTTCAAAAAATCCACCCAGTACATCCCAGTGTGTGTGAAAAACAAAGCATCTACCACATCATGCAGCACAGAGAAGGCTGCTAGGAAGGATGAGGCTTGGGTTTCTCCCCAGCCACTAAAGTTTCCATTTGCTGCACCCAAGCCAGATGCCTGCAGCCTGGGCAAGGATTTACGACAGCATAAGCTTCAGAGTCCCTCTGCTTCTCAAGGAAGTATCAGGAAATAAAAGGGCAATTGCATTAGTCAGTCATCAGGAGTTCAGGGTTTCTGCTTGGTTTCAATGACAGCAGGTAAAAAAATTGCTCAGCTGCCTGACTGCAGCCAGCAGCCCTGCAGGAGGCCAAATACTTCCCTCTCCAATGCGCTGTGCACACCACAGCACCAACACCTCTGTTCTGGTTGGTGCCAAGACCAAGCTCAGCTCATCCAGGGTCTCCCCTACCCAGCACAGGTCCCAGCAGGAGCCCTGTCCCAGCCTGAGCTCTGAGCTCTTGCCTGTGAAGGGGGTTGATGAAAATTCAATGCCTGGAGAGTCTGAGCATCCCCGTGAGGTCCTCCCAGCTCGTGGGCTGGTGTGGAGCATTCCATCTCTGCTGAAAGTCCCACCAAGAGGAGATTTGCCTCTTCCACAGCTGCATCCCACCAGCACCCTCCTAGCACCTGGGGACACCAGCCCCTGCTCTCCTTGGGCCCTACACCCACGTTCTCAGCGGTGGCAGATGTCCCCATCAGCAAGGTCACACACGTCCCCACCCACCTGTTAGCTCACAGTCTGCTCCGTGGGAAGGCCACCCACATCTGTGGGAACGCTTTTCAAGGTTACATTATCAGCAAATTCCATTTTTTTTCACAACATAACTAAGCAAATACCACTATCCAGATCTGAAATTCATCCTTGGAAACCCCACTAACATCCTCCCTCTTCCTCTGTGTGTCCCCTTCACGCAGATCTTGGCTGGTGACCAGCCAGCCAGTTTCACCCACAGTGCTGCCCCAAATAATTGCTTTCTTCCCTCATGCAACAACTCCTAAAAGGCCACTGCAAATCTTTTCAACATAAGCTGAGGTAGCCAAATAGAGCTTCTACTAGCCTCTTTCCCTGTCCTCCCCCCAGATATAAATTTTATACTTGGACCTACTAAAGTTGGCTGAAAATAATGATAACTGACAGATGCTGGGTTAAATAGGCCACAGTCTTTCCCTCGGGCCTAATTTAGACCGGATATCAAAATGATACAAAATATCATTGCTTGCCTTCACTCCATCAGGACATCCCTAGACAGACCAATATTAACTCCTTCCTGGGAATGTTGTGTTTGCACTGTCACCTTGCAAGGAAAAGCACATTTTAATCTGATCTCCTCCTGCCCTGGATCCCATGCTCCAGGGTGGCTCCTAAGCAAAGTCTCTTTAGTTTCCAGCCCAGCTCAGTGCCAGGTGCTGGTCAAGTCACACCAGCCTGAGCCCCTGCCCCTCGTGGCACAGCAGCCTCAAACCACAGCCATGGCACTGCAGTGTTTGGGGCAACAGGACCCCCAGACCAGCTTGGACACATGGCTTGCACCACTCAGGACAGGTAATTAGAGGCTGTATTCTAATGAATATGCACAAGGGGGCAGAGTCAGAGTTGCGCACCTGAGGTAAAGTTATGCATATTTTAATTATTCAACACTTGGCAGTGCAACCTCACTTGGTTCACTTGGCCTCCTGCATGTCCTTTCCTAGAAGGCTTGTTGGGTTTGTTTCTCTTCAGAGGAAAAGGAAACTTCACAAAAGAGTCTCCTTTGCCTCCATCAAGCACTCAGGGTAAAGCCCACGAGCAATCCCAAGCCCCAGCCCAGAGAGGGTGAGTGCCACATCCTCACTGGCACCTGCCTGCACCAGAGGCAATGGGTCCATCCACTGACAAGACTGAAATGTCTAACTACCAAGTCTCATTTTCAGTTGCTTATAAATTTACCAAGGATTAACTGATCAGCCCAAATTTTCCTTGGCAAATACATCAGCTGGACTGGATCTATTGATTTGAAGATTTAATTCAGAATTTCTTGGTTATTTCTGAGAAATATTTCTCATGTAAACTCTCCATCTCTCCCACTCTCTTCACTTTAGAGGGCAAAGGCACATTCCGTGTTCTGAAAAAAACATGAGTTTGATTTACGGAGTTATTGCTGTCACATAGTTACTGTACTAAACAAGGAGCAGTGAAAGCAGCTCGAATAGAAGCAGCAGCATTACAGCCACCTCCAATCCACACGTGGCTGCAGCTACAGCCCTCAAAGCTCTCCATCCCTGAGGGCTCAGAGCTCCTGAGGCCTCAACAAAACCCCCAGAGTGGGCCAAGGCTGAAGAAAACACAGTTGGTGCTTTAAGGTGTAGATGAATTCAAAGAAAATCAGTGCATCCGTTTAGAGTTATAAATGTTAAACTCTGGAACGGGATCATTTGTGCTCCCATAGACTCATAAAAGTGTATTAAACATTAAGTACTATGTTAAAAGGACATTATTTCCAAGTCCTAAATCAAGCATTCAGAAGTTAGGGATGCCTTTGCAACCCGCATTTGACCTTGTTTCTTTCAATTGTGGCAAACTTGGGTCGCACTGGTTTTCCTCTGAGCTCAGGCAGGCGCTGGGTGCTGGAGCTGCTCTGTGAACAAACTGAAAATAAAAGTGGTGGACACTGCTGCCATCAAAATCCAGCTTTGCCTGCTGGAGCTGGGGAATAGAGGAGACAAAAATGCTTGCTGTACTCATCACTGGCAGATCCTGTGCTGCCCAGGCACTGCTGCCAGGCACCCCACCCTGTGGCAGGGAAGCAGCCTGCTGCCCCCATGGCCTCACTGGAAGGTTGTGTTGGGGTTCTGCAGATGCAGGATTCCCTCCCCAGCCCTGCCTCGGGCTGGATGAGCCCTGCTGCACGCTGGATCTCTGCTGCAGGGCTGTGGGGAAGGGCACAGGCAGCAGGGCACAGGCCAGGCTGGGCAGCACGGGTGTGCCAGTGAATCGTGCACTTAGCTGGACACTGAACACAGCTGACCTGTCAGAGTGTCAGCACGGGGACTCCTAATCCCAGCCTGTGTCAGGGACAGCCAAGGGCCTCAACAGGATTGCAGAGAGGCACAAGCTCATGGCCTGGCAGCAGAGATGCTGCTGCTGATCTGACATGTGGAGCAGGGCACGGCAGCAGCAGCCAGCCAGGATCAGATCCTCCGAGCTGCTGTGCAGAGGAGCAGCACAGCCCAGGGAGCTGCTGCTCTGCCTGCCAGCCCACACCAGCCTGCAGCAGAGCCCAGCCTTTGCTATCATCGAGCTCTCCCTCCTTCAGAGGCAGGGAAAACAGGGATGAAGCAGAAAAGGGATTCCCTTAGCCTGTGGGCAGCCAAGCAGTGTTTGAACCTGTGTGTGGTACCTGCCACTCTGCCACGCTGAGATGTCAGGTTAAAGAGCCAAAGCATGTCAGAGCCTCCTACAGCAGCTCTGGTGGTTTTACTCACATCATTAACAAATTAATTTTTTTGATTTGGAAAGGACAATGGCAACAGCTGTTTTGTGGCATTGAACCTTTCCTGGATCACACCTTTCCCCCATGACAGAGTAAAAAGTAGGAGACCAGCATCACCTCTGCTCCTGCAGAGATGTGCAGCCCTCTCAGACATCACATAGGAAACACTTCTTGGGGACAGCTGCAAAGAGAGGGAGAGGCAGGAGAGCAGTGCCCCAGGATGCCCAGATTTGTGCAAATATTTGCTGATTTCCAGCACCCACAAGCAGGAGCATAGTTTGCTATCTTATTTTCCAAATAAGAAACATAATTTTCTGGAAGCTCTATGAACTGGAGGCAGTTATTAACAGGGTGCTGGTCCCTCCTCCCAGCCCTGCACTGCAGGTTTGACCAGGGCATGCTGAATGGCCAACACAGAGCTGTGAGACAGCCCTAAGTCCCCAGGGGCATCACTGCCAAGCACCTTCCCAGCA